CGTCAGCACTCTGCTCCGCCATGGACTGTTTGTTTTGGAATAGGGAAACATGAGTCAGCGATCCACACACTTCCTCCTAGATTGCGTTTTGCTAATTAAACAATTACGGCTTTACACATCCTGATGTGTGAAAAGGTACTTTGATGCTCCGACAATGGCACTGACTGAAGTCTTTCAGTCTGTCTCTCATACACATAGTGGCACATTTGCTGAGAGTGTGGTGACAGTGATTGCTGGTCTCTCCCAGACCTGTTTTAACATCCGTTTTGGATGATTACAAGTAGTTAGTGATAAATACAGATGTATATTGACTCTGTATATTGAACATTTTGTGATCTAATTACTGCATATTTGGAGTGCATTTGTAGCGTAAAGTCTTTATCTCATTGAAATGATAATTGAAAAAAAATGATCGGACTCTGCAGTAGACTATGAACAACTAAGCTTGCAAATTGTCAATGATAGTCCAAAAATATCTACATTTGCTCAAAGCAAAGCAATAATATAATATGATATGGTCAATGTTTTTAGAAAAGGGATTAATTGATTTAATAAGCCTTTGTCATACTATAGGATGTTGACTTTTGTTCATTTTACACTTCACTGATTTTTTCTCTATTAAATACAAAGACTACATACGTACAGTTAACGATTTTAAGAAAAACACTTTTTGACACTTAAATAGCTTCACTATTTTCTTGTCCTCTGTCATTATATTTAGCGTTTTAACATAAACTGATACAAAAGCTTGTGCTTTTTGTTTTTTGTGCAATGATAAACTACATTTGAAGTAATTTATTCCCAAATCCTCTGGCGCATCAGCGTCATTTTGTTGGGTGCACAATCAAGTACCCACCCTTGAGAAGCAGTGGGGGTGGTTGAGTAACCGCTGTTGTAAAGTCAGTTATGTCCATCTAAAAAAATGAAAAAGACTACATGCAAAAATGTAATGGATCTTGCATCTTTAAATTCATCCCTTTTAAATTACCATTGCTGCAGCCATGCACATGCAGATGTGACATTTTCGGCTGTTGCACTGCACACTGTTTTTGTATAAATATATATTTGGAACCAAGTATGTAGACTTTTTGTGCTTTTATGTCTTTTTTTTGCTCCTTATAGACTTGCAGTAACACACTGATGTAGTGAGTGATTTAAGTCGTTTCAAAATTAGAGACTCTTCAGTTACAAGTGGTCACAAGAGACACATTTGAGGTACATATTACTACAAGGTGTAAACAGCAATGTGTCCACTTGTGATCTCATCACAGAATCACAGAGACAGATCTTAAAACCAGGTGTAAACGGGGCCCTTGATGCTCATTGTTCAGTCTGATTCTCTTGAGCAGTTGGATCCAAATGCATTTTCGCTTAAGTGTAATCTAAGGACCAATGAAAATATTTGTAAAATATTCCTTTTTCAGTTGGCCAGGTGTCATGTATAGACACATAAATGTCATTGTTCAGGTTACTGCTCTGATTAATGCTTGTCTAAAAAAGACAAGACATCAGTTTTTAACATTGTAAATCGGATGCAGGTGACATCAAGCAGTTATTTGAATTGTTTGGATGCATATGTGTTTTGTGTGTGTGTGTCTGTCTGTCCCTGATTCTTCCTGTGATCAAGCTCGCAGGAATGCTTTTTGGGCTGTCACCCAAAATGCTTTGCGTCATGTCTCTCTGACATGTGGCGCAGATGTCTTTAGTTACGCGTGTCACTGATAAACAGAAACACCACACTCATCCTTCAGCTCCCATGATACTCATTCATCAGACTCAGCTGCATGTTTCTGTGCGTTTAATGAGGAAGGGATTCTCTGTATTAAACGGACATCACAGTAATGAAGCATCAACATATGGTCAGATTTTCTAAACCCATAGTGTGTGTTGATCGGTGCCCCCCTACAGGATTCTCCACAGCATCTGCCGTCTCTGTACATAAAAACAGTTTGTCAGTCAAGATGAAGGGATTGACGGCAATAGAAGATGATCCGTGGCCATACTTGATTCAAGTACAGTCTTCAGCTCTGTTCCAAAGCCCAATGAGCTGTTTTGCTATCATAGACAGTTGAAAGTAATAAAGCTTGACATTAGTGTGTTGTTAAAGGGGTCATATGATGCTGCCAAAAAGAACATACGCCTTCTTTCTTTGTGTGAACATTTGGGCGGCGTTATGCAAATCTTCCCACATAGTGAGGTAGATATGTGGGGATGTGTTAGAACGAGCCATTTTAGGTAGGCGTGGTTAACTCTTAACTTTTATAAAGAATATCTCTTTGGATTTGAGACTTTAGTCTTTGCAACTTTACAGATCTTCTTTATGCACCAAGAGCTTGTAACACTCCAAAGAGAAAGGAAAAATTGAAATCGCATCATATGACCCCTTTAAGATAATATACACTTGTGTATATTTTTACACACACATACACACACACACACACACACACACACACACGGTTATTCCTGTCGTTAAGGGGAGGAGTAATGGTTTTTCTACTGTACAAACTGTATTTTCTATCCCTAGCCCTAAACCTACCCCTCACACAAAACTACAGGCATTTTTAGATTTTCAAAAAACTTCATTCTGTATGATTTATAAGCTTGTTTCCTCATGGGGACCAAAAATGTCCCCACAAGGTCAAAATTTACTGGTATTACTATCCTTTTGGGGACATTTGGTTCCCAAGACGCAGGGAATACCAGGTACACACAGACACGCAGAGACACAAATATGTATGTGTGTGTATATTACCACATATATAAAATAAAACATAAGTATATTTATAATCAACATTTCTCTTGCTTTATCCACCATTTTGGTTTGATCATAATTATGCTGCCTACCTTTGTCACCTCTTATAATGCCTGAAAATGCTGTTTAGGTAGGCAAGTCACCGGGATTTAGAACAGAGCTTTTATCTGAGAAACTAGATTCTGAAGTGGTTAACTGAATGTATCACTTTTGATTCACTTTTTTTATTACTTTTGATGAGATTTGCAATGCAAAAAAATGCTTCAAAGAGTCTCTATGTACTTGCTGAGACAAGTTTACTCAAATTGAATGCACAGTTAGTTACAGTAGTGCTGTCCTCCAACTCTTAAATCATTGAAAGGAAACAGTGAAAATGACTTGGATGTTTCCAGGATAACCTGGAGAGTCTCATTTGGAACTGTAGTGTGACCTTCAGGATAATCTCCCGTTTTAATACACAATTTTATCTGCGGATATCACTGCACCCAGATTAAATCACACCTCCCGCCGCGCTACAGTAACCTTGGAGATTATAATTTCATATTTGCCAAAACCTTTTTATTCCTCTCCAGATGACACATTCTGCCGAGGTCTCTTTGTTCCCATCTGAGCAGATGTAAAGCTGTTACAGTTAACAATCCACATGTCACTGTGATGGTCACATGTTAGTCAAAACCCATCCGATTTCCCTCCTACAGTTCATAATCAATTCTTAAGTACAGCCTCAGCTCTGTGTTTATCGATCATCACAGCTGAAGTTATTGACTGGTGCTAAGTTAAGATGTGCAGTCAAAGACTTACTGATGTTAAGCGAATACATGATTGCTGAGGCATTACAGGGCTTCAGTTCCAGGCTTCCCAAATCAATGTACAAATTCAACACAAAGCCTTTTCCTCTGTGGTCACATCTAAGCACTTTGCCTTTTTCCTCTTTTCATCAGCTTTTAAGTATAAAATTATGTAGCAGATTTGCGTGCTTTAACGTTGGTGGATAAATGGGGTTGCAATCTAATGTAATGCGGAAGAAACAATTTGAGACCACACAGTGATTTATTATTAAAAGTCAACTTTGCAATTGCATCTTTAAAAATAAAATATGAATATGCTTTTCTTGAAATTTCCTGTATAATTTCCTGTATAATTATAACAACTGCATAATTTCTAGCTACTGTTGCAAATTTTCTTTGTAAGCATTCGATGAAATAAGATTACATTTAAATGTGACAAAATTTACAAAATTTACGATAAATCATATTTTTAAAATATAATTTAAAATGTAAAAAATATTTAAAAATAAATATTAAGTAATCTAACTATAGAAAGTATACATTTAAATTAAATATATTTATTTATTTATTTTATAAGGTTCATTTTGTTTTATACTGTAGCAGAGAGTCCCACAGATAAGTAGAGTGGAGTTAGATCAGTGCTAATATTAGTTCTCTATGAAGGGTGTGATCCACGGGAGGCTCCAGCTTTATATGAATGTGAAACGGATCACAGTCACAGATTAAAGCTGAATATTGTCCGAGGAGTTGATGGGGGAGGGATGGATGCTTGTACACACACGTGCGCATCCACTCACAAACAATGCATGAGAAACAATAGTGGTGGCCTAAAGGTGCAGTTCACCATTATGTGTACATACGCATACACACACACACACACACACACACACACGTGGGAAGAGTGTATTCCAATATGGAACAATCAAGATAGCTTAAACCATAATCCTCATTGTTTATTGTTTTTTATGAAGGTTGAGGAGTGAATTTCCTGCCAAAACTACTCACACACACAAAAGGCGTAGTTCCCAGTATTATCTCCTTTTTCATGGCCATCTCTATGACCTCCTGGGCGACAGGCTAATGATGTATGATGTCATGACGGTAGCTTAACGTTAGGAATGTTGGGACATGCGCAATATGGACATAATGTGAACAAAGTTGGTAAGATCGCAACAGGAAGTATGTACATGTTCCCTGACATCCGCTTGTTAATTTTTAATCAGCGTCTTGAGGGTGAAAGAGCGAAGGACAAGTTGCCAACCCAAGATGTTTCCTCTCATGTTAACTTGTCAATCGATTGCATATGCAGCAAACCTTAAATTAGCATCAGTCAATAGCTCAGGCCACGCTGGTCTGAGTCTCAGATGTGTCTGCCAGCACATAGAACATCAATCTATGGTGCTGCCAAAGAGCCTGTGTTTGTGTCCTCTAATAATATCCTTGTCTCTTTCTTTTTCCAGCTGTATTTTGGGGAGATATTGCCTTGGATGAAGAGGACTTGAAAATGTTTCAGATCAATGGAACAATAGAGCTTTCACAGCAGTCCCATGGGAGACAAGGACACATGTCGGGTAAGACACGTAGATTGTTGTAAGTACATGTTCCTGGATCAACATCCTTGTTGATCCTGGAACAACATTCCAATTAACCAATCAGAATTAAGGGATAACTTTTCAGGAAATATCTGTTTTAGGCTTACGATCAGGGTTAGGTGCTTCTACACCCTTGTTAATCAGCTATCATTTCACACTGATTTTAGGAATAAATTATGGGTAGGGTTAGGTTTAGGGGTAGGGATTGGGTTTAGACTATATTTTTGGACAGTAATGTTGATCCAGGATCAACAAAAGATGTTGATCCAGGAACATGTCTTACTTGGCAAAATCACGGCGACCGGTAAGACACATGGGATATTACAGGGCTCCACACTGCAGTTGTCGACAATAGTTTAGAATTGGCCGATTTGTGAACTAATGACTGTTACGAACTGGTTCTTTTTAAGATTTGTTAAAAAGCCTCAAATTCATGATTTAGCAGTTTGAATCAGACCTAGTAAATGCATTTTAAATATTCTCAACTGTTTTCAAAATATTATAGTTCATTGCTTCTGAACAATCATCTTTATTATGTAATTTGCCATTTAAAAAAGTAATAAGGCTGCTAAAGTTTTAATGTTATTTCTAGTCATTTAGTCTAGTATTTTTTGTCTAGAGCCCTAAATATTATTAACTGACAAATCTGTCACATAATCTGGATTTAAAAAATGAAAGGTCCTCAATTTAGTTTGAGGTTCTAATGCACATGTTTTTTCAGCTGTGTTCAGTAGCAGATGTTCGGTAGATGAGGTTAAAGCTGCAGTCAGCAGCTGCTGAGGGTTGAGGGTTGTTTCTGGTGCAGAACAACAACAATGACTCTTTCTACAGTAAGGTTCAAGGTTTGAGCTTCTGTTCGACTCAGTCCTTGAAACCACCCATGTGCTTTTTTCATCCTGATGTCATGTTTGGAATCAGACCTTCCTCCAGGCGTTAAATGCTCTGATCTAGCACTGGTCTCTGTGTAGTTTTGAGTGCAGGGTGACACACACACATATATGGTAGCCTCTGTGGATTGTGTATTTAAGGTAATGTCTCAATCAGTCTGAGAAGCTGAGTTGTCATAAGCAATGTTCTCTCTAAGCTGCGTGCGTGCAGAAGAAATTATATGCAGCACACAGGACAGATGCAAAAATGAGTTGGAAAAGCCATTTGAATTCTAGTGCAAACTCTACTACATAGGGATGTTTAGATAACTATATAAGAATTCACATGTTAACATTTTTTGAAAATATTAGTTTTTTATATCATATTATATTATATATGCGACCCTGGACCACAAAACCAGTCATAAGGGTAAATTTCTCGAAATTGAGATTTATACATCATATGAAAGGTGAATATATAAGCTTTCCATTGATGTATGATTTGTTAGGATATGATAATATTTGGCCGAGATACAACTATTTGAATATCTGGAATCTGAGGGTGCAAAAAAATCTTAAATATGGAGAAAATCGCCTTTAAAGTTGTCCAAATGAAGTTCTTAGCAATGCATATTACTAATCAAAAATTAAATTTTGATATATTTACGGTAGGATATTTACAAAATATCTTCATGGAACATGATCTTTATTAATATCCTAATGATTTTTGGCATAAAAGAAAAATCGATAATTTTGACCCATACAATGCTATTGCTAAAAATATACCCCAGCGACTTAAGACTGGTTTTGTGGTCCAGGGTCACATATTACATTGTCATATTATAAGTCTAACAAATAATTGACCTCAAAAAGGCTTCATTTTTTTCATATTGTATTATATTATATTATTATAAAGAATTGAACTGATCTGCATGAGATTTTTAAAAAGATTTTTTAATAGAGTTTCTTGGTAAGTAACACAGCACTGTAAAAAAATTTTCTCAGGTAACCTAAAATGTTCATAATTTAGTTACATCAAGAGTCAAATCAAATATAAACAGCACATTAAAGGTAAAAGTTACACACTTTTTTGTGTGTGTGTGTGCTGTACAGGTGTGGTATAAAGAATGTTTTTGCTCAGGTGGCTGAAATGTCCGTCCAATAGAGAAAAGTTTTGCTCAGCAAGAAAAACAATTTGAGGGAGCATTGGTTATAAGGATGGAATAGATGTCCATGATTGTGTTGTGGGCTGTGGGTGATTTAAACTTATTAAAGTCGAATTGAAGTTGAAGAATGTGTGGGGACATTGGGAGTGTATAGCTTCAGGTGATTAGACTTGATAAATGCTCCTGTCTCTACTCCACTGCACCATCAGCAAACAACCGTGAGTGTGTTTGCATAGCAAGGTCTTTGTCTTCTACTCCTTATGTAATGGGAAAAGTGCAGAAGCTTATGTGTGTGCAAATGTTTGTTTCTTTGTGAGATAGAATAAACATTGTTAACACAGTCCTTCCTTGCTGTTATCTAAACTGACCGAATTCAAAATGTGTGTGTGTGTGTGTGTGTGTGTGTGTCTTTCCCAGTGGCACATTGTTAAGGTAAACTCAGTGTCTAAAACAGGATACAATCACTGGAATGAGTGATGACTTCTCACAGACTAACAGCCAACTAAGAGAAATTTACCTTGCTGGGTAGCAACGTTGTCAGCAACATCACCTTTATCATCGTCTGGGTCAGGCAGCAAAAGATGGAAGTGAGGCCAAAAAGACGATAAGGATTCAGCTTTGCGTTTCCGTTTTGACTGGGGTTGTTACAGGATGTGCCACTGGGGCAGAAGGGCAAACTGCATCAGGACCAGAAATAGCAGGAGAACTGATGCATGTTCAAACCAGTCAGGACAGGTCTTTCTTGGCTATTTCCAGATTCATCAGGATGCTGTCACGGAGACAACAGCACACGCTTGTATACCTGCTAGTGTTATGTTTGTGAGATAGAGCGTTTGTGTGCACATTAATCCCAAAGCTCAGACTTTTCCTGTGTCTTGGATTCAGAGAGTATTGTTTGTTCCTCACTTTCCTGTCGGCCTCAGATAAATTCCAGAGAGAGAGCGAGAGGGGGTAAATGCAAAAGGAAGATAGCAGAGAAACTGAGATGCGTGAATAGAGATGTTGAGCGAGAACCCTGGGAGTGAAAGACAATAGGTGAGATGTTGAATGAAGAAGAAGAGAGTGGTCAATGGGAGGATGAGGAGAGGTGAGGATAGATGGATGAAATAGTTGTGAGAATGGCATGGAAGTTTCTTGACTCACTGGCAGTGTTCTTGTAACGTTATAACGGCACCAGTGCAGTTTTAAACTTGATTCAAGGAAAGTTTACTCAACACGTAACAAAAATACTCACACAGTGTTCTCACAAAATTATATCACTCTCACAACATTCTCAAAATAACTCCCTTGTATGTTTCTTTCTCTCAGGTGGTCTAGGAGAGCATAATCCCAGTAAGAAGAGAGGTTCTTTATATCTGTTGCTTGACAGAATACGACGGTTAGGTTTTGGTAAGTTTAAAACAATGGATTGTTTCTCAACTCTTTTTAAATTTACCCCACAGCACTGTTAGTAAGCCTCGAGCACCTCTTTATCAACATTTACAAATAGCATTATTCACCCTATCTATTTTATCGGTTCATCTTGTTGATCTTATTGTGAACGATTCATCCATGCATAATGTTTCTATTTTATGTATTTTTGACATATCTCGATCTTTCGGTGAAACAACACTTTGCTTTTGTGACGAATGCAGGACTTCTCCAAAAACGTCAAACCCCATCCCTTTCTTAAATTCGAACTACAAAACATATTCAGTAGTTAAACGACTTGGCACAAGCTGATTGGTTCATGCTGCATATGCAGCCAAAGAGCTTACTGCCTTGCATTAATATGGCTGGCTAGCATTCACTTGAGTTTCCTGCAGCGCGCTTTCAGAGTTCTTTGAAACCCTCCACCTTCCCCAGCTCCACCTGTATAGATCTGCTACGGGGTTATTTTATATGCTATTTGTGCAGCAGCAGTATGTCTTAAATACTCACAGCACCGCATCGGCGTATG